CAAACTTAATATATATATATATATTATTATATATTATATAATATATTATATAATATATATTATATATTATATAATATATATATATATATATTTTTAATTATATATATAATATATATATATATATATATTTATATATATATATATATATATATATATATATATATATATATATATATATATATATATATATATATATATATTATATATATATATTTAGGCATATTCGTTTAGATGCATCAATTTTTTTCTCTTTATCTTAATTTTTTTCTATGAATTGTCAACTGATATGCATGCAAGTTATTATCAAAATAATTGTTGTGTTGTGGGCTAATAAAAATAACAAAAAAATGATTTTATTATATATTTTTTATGATGTGTCAAAATTAAATTTTACTTTTTGTTTCTTGTATTAATAAAGATTTTTTTTTTGAAATTTACATTTAGTGTTATTTTAGTGTTATTTCTTATGAAAAATATTTGCTGAAACTATTTGATGAAACTTATTGTAAAGATTGTAAAAGCTCATATAAATCTTAGTTTGCCATAAATTTCAAAAAACTTTTTTCCTTACAGATTGTGGAAAAAGATGCCAAAAATAGATGGGTTTCCAAGCATAAATCTTTGTAGGTTAGACAACATAAACAATTTTTGTTAAGTTGATTTTTTATAGCTTTTAATTTTTGTTTAAATTAATCAAATATATTGCAGCTTGTCAGTTTCAAAGAATGTGACATTTATAAGGTAATAAATGTTTTTTGTTTTTTAAGCAATTACATATATGTATATATATATCTATATCCAGGTCAACATTTGTCAATGTTGTCAATATAAGCATTAAAGCTTATATGCCTTTAATCCCAGCCGACCATAAGATTTAAATGCCATCCTAAAAACTGTCAGTTTGAATAAAAATAAGTAACTTTATAAGTATTGTTATTAAATTTAAAATGAATATTTTTTTTTTTGGATAGCATTTATTATGATAACACATAATTATAAAATTCTTAGGATTTTGAGGGCTGAAGTTGGCATTATATTAGTATTATTTAATCTACATTATATAATATACTGTTATTTGTTATTCATTATTATTGTTTACTTTTGTCTATTTGTAAGTAGTTTTATTGTTAGAAGTTTGTAAAACTAATGATGTCATGCAAGAATTTTGAGTACAAGTTATAATTTTTTTTTTTTGGAAAGGTGGAAGGTTCATAATAATTGGATTCAAGAGGTATGTTTACCATTGGAAATAACAAGATTTTGTTTCTTCTAAAGAAATTTTTTTAAAGAAATTATTGTTAAACATGAAGATGATATTTTAGAAATACTTTCTATGAAAGTATTTATACTTATAAGACACCATTAAAGTTGAACAAACATTTTCAAGTTGCAAAAGTTTTTATTGGTAGAACTGTTTTGAGTATTTAATTAATGTTTTTACCAAGACGATTTTACAAAGATGCTTACTAATAAGATGCAGATATTTTTATTTATATTTTTCAAATTTTCTTTCAAAGTTTTTAATAGCTTTAGCAACATACCAATGCATTTTCTTTCAGGTAAAATACTATCCTTCAATTCAAAGTATTATTTCATGTTCCTCTGATACTCAATATTCACTAGTTATTGGTGAGTCATACATTTTAATATTTCAAAATTTTTTTTCAGTTTAAAAGATGTATTATATTATAAAGATTAGGACTTTTTAAAAATGCACAAAAAGATTATAAATTAACATATTTTTGTCAGTAACATAATGTACATATATTTTGAACTCAGAATATATGTAGATTTATAAGTTCAGTCTGTTTATTGTTTTTAACCTTTTGAGAAAATATTTTTTTCTTTATTAGTAAGATTGTCTGTCTTGAAATTCTATAAAATATTTATTAGTAAGCATAAAAAATATTAAATAATTAGTATAACTCAAAATAGAAAAATCTGTTTCTTTACCCTTTAATTGGTTGGGAAATTGTTTGTGTTTTAGGTAAGAGGATAAATAAAGATGTTAAAACATATACATCAAACATGTGTTTTTTGTTTACAATGATATTAGCAAACTTTGTCAAGAAAGAGTGAAAGAAAGTTGTAAACTATCTTTTAGCATTTTTTAATGCTTTCGTATTTTTAAATCTACAACTAATTTTGAAAAGCGGTTTTGGATTTTTTATTACATATGTACTAAAAAAAATTAAAGATTTCGATTTCATGCTTGATTAAAGTATGATTTTGGTGTTGTCATTAAAATAATAATGATGAATAATAGTTACCTGTTTGTTTTTTTTATAATTTTTTTATTCTAAATGTTTTTGCTGGATAGTTTTCATATCAACTAGATACTGTGTCAATTGAGTAACTAAGGCAATTATTTAACTTTGAATATACAAATGTTATACTTTTGTTTTTATTGTACAAAGTCTGTTCCATAATAATGGATATGTATATTTTTAGGGCAAGTTGTTGGTAGTACTATTAATTGTTCCAAAGGGTCATCAGGCATTTTACAAAAAGATTCACTTAAAAATCTCAGCTTAAAAAGGCGGTTTCCTTCTGATGAGACAGTATTCAAAGTACCAAAAGGTGTAAAGACATTCTGCTTTTCCAAAGCAAACAATATTATAGTAACAGGAGGTATGATATTCTATTTAAAATTTTTTCAATAATTTTGCGCATATCACAAAATTCTTGTTGTTATTTATGTAATTTCAATATCATTGTGATTTCTTAATAAATAAATTATGGAATATTGAATTTTTATATACTGAAATGATAATTGTACTGCTGCTAAGGGATGCTGTAAGCATACTAATATTGCTGGACTAACCTGCACAAATGAGTCTTTTTTTAATTTAAAAAAAATTTAATTTATGTTTCTTAATTGATATTAAAATCACTATTTCTGGAAGTTTAACATTAATCTATTGTTTTTTTAACCAGCAAAACTTGTTAAATATGTAAAAGCATTGTTCCAAAGAAATTCGATACTGTTGTTGTCTAACAAAAAGGTTGTTTTTATTGAAGCAAGATGGGAATCACAAATTAAAGCTAAAGGTTGGATTGGTAAAATACCTAAATAAATCAGTAATAACTTGTTTTCTGATTTGCTTTCTATATGCACATAGTTAAAAGGTATTCTATAAACATGAAAAAAAATGTGATGACAACAAAAAAAAAATGTTGGTTACATTAACTAGGACATATTTAACCTACTAATATACACTGACATAAGCAGATATTTTCATGTGATGTAATCTTGAGTTAGCAGAATTAACTTTTGTCTACCTTGTGAGACAACTGCCTGTGCAATTAGTTATGTAAATTTAAAAATCATTTATTTTATCATGAGGGATTTTCGAATCTTTTTTAAAATTTTAAAAACAAGACTCTTTTCTGATAAGTTTGTTATCCAATATAAACATTATTCTAAGTTCATTACCCTTGTTATTTAATGCAATCTTTGCTTAAAAGGTTTATTAGTTGCTCCAGTTGACTACTTTATGCCCTCTCCACACATCCTTCACCACCATTACTCAATTATTTATAATTTAAAATTTTTACTTGTTAAAATTATTATAGATAAAAAAAAATTTGTTGGTAGTATATAACAAAGCATATTCACTTTGCAAAACTTCTTTTAGTTGGCTGAAGTTGAATTCTGAGACTGTTGGAGCCCCTCTACCACTTCTGAGATTACATTGTTTAAGCTTATTCACATTTAACAGTTTGTTTTTTTAAATCTGAAATATCAAACTTTTTGTTTAGTTTTTACTCGATGTTTCAACTTTGAGTAAATTTAAAATATTTTGTTATGAATAAAATGAAAAGGGAAGGTTCAAAATCTTTTTTATTATTTTTTGCTCAACATACACATGTGAAACATAAAATGTATAAGATATGAACATAACTTAAATAAGTTATGAAATTTTTTTTTTCATTTTCTTTATTATGTGAGTTCAGATCACTGTATAAATATTTATTGAAGCAAAAAATTCTTTTAATATCAAAAAACCAAACAATTTTTTTTATAAATTATATTCATGTTCATCATGTAGTTACATACTAAACAATAATCTGCATATAAATTATGCAAAGAGCAAAAATGGTTTTATCATTATCTACTCTTTTATGATGAGAGTCATGATGGACTTTATGATGAGAGTCATGTTCTCTTTCTTTAAAGTTAATTATTAATAAATCTTAATGATTTTTTTTTCTTTTTAAATCTTCACTTCCAGCAAGGCTGCAAGCAACCACTAATAGAGTTGGAAGTTACTGGAAAAGAAAAGATGAAGTTTTTAGAGTAAGACAACGATTGACAGATGACTTAGAAGATTGCAAATTGTATGAATCAGGAAAGCAAGATGAAGGAAGCAAATCCCAAAGAAATGATGTTTGAGGAAAAAACTAGGCGAGTAAGAGTTTTTGGAGCACTTAGGAACAGTCACAGAAAAAGGATGAGACTTAATTGAATGACGAGTAACACAAGAATGAATTTTAGTAGATAGCATAAGGGATGCTAGCTCTTCAAAGCAGTGCTCATTATAGTATTTGTAGAAAAAGAGAAGTAACATTACAATGATGTGATAATGGTTAGAAGTTGGCTGCAAGAGCAGGTCCAACTATGTTTACAATGCGTTTTTGCACCTTGTCTAAAAGAGAAAAGGGATCATTAGAAGATCTGCCCCAAATATGGCAATTATCCATACAATGACGGATTTGAGATTTATAGAGATAAAGAATATAACCTGGAGTAAGAAAGTTTTGAGCACGATAAAGAGATGCAGCCTTAGCAGATGCTAATTTTGCAATGGATTTTATAAATGGTTTTCAAGAAAGATTGGAAGTAAGAGTTTATCCTAGAAGATGAAGGGTAGATGACTCATCAAATACATTACTGCTCATAAATAAAGGTAGATCTAAATTATTGCGATAATAAAGGTAAATCTAAATTATTGCGATTGGCTGAAAGAAAATGAGTTTTATCTGAATTAAAGTTCACCAACCACTGTGAGCCTCATGCTGTACCAGAAGTGGGATCCTTTTCAAGCTCAAATGCCTCCTCTAAGCAATCAGAGAGTATTAGCTTCTTTTCATGACAAAAATAAATGGTAGTATGATCAGCCAACAATGCCACCTTAGATGTGAGAATATCTGGAAGATCGTTAATGCAAATTAAAAAGAGTATAGGGCCGAGGATTGAACCTTAAGGAACCCCTGAAGTTGCAGGATATGAAGAAAAGTGCTCTTCATTGAGGAACAACTTTTATATTATGATTGGAAAGGAAGGACTCAATAAGCTTTAAAATGTTACCAGATACATCGTAAAAAGAAAGCTTATGGAGAAGACCAGCATGCCAAACTTTATCAAAAGCTTTAGAAATGTCAAGAGTGATAGCCTTAATCTCTCCACCTCTATCCAATGCACAACAAAACCTATCAGTTATTTTTATTTATTTTAATTCACCTCCTCAAGGCCGAGAAGGCCACTACAGACGAGGAGGCTACTTATTTGTGGCTATAACCCTCTCTCAACTCTATAACTCCGAAACACGAACCTTGACGAACAAGGCCGCTGCGCGGAGAAACGATTTGAGCGCGGTACTACCAGGGACGTGGTAGTACTGCGCTCTGTTAGCAAATCAGCTGTAAAGCGAGAAAACTGAAATCCATATTGATAATCAGAAAGTTATTAGGTTCAAGATAAGAGATTAAGTGTTTGTTAATTAAAGATTCAAAAATCTTGCTTATAATAGGAAGAAAACTAATGGGACAGTAGTTAGACAAGTCAGGTTGATCTCCAGAATTTTTGAAAATAGGGATAACAGATGCCACTTTCCAGCATGCCAGAAAACAAGACTCCAATAGCACTTACTAAATAGTTTTGAAAGTATGGATGACACCTTCAGAGAACACTTCTGCAAGGCTACGACAGGTATGTTGTCTGGGCCACAAGCTGTATTAAGAGATGATATATATGAAAAGTTCTTAGCAAACAATTCAGCTTTGTCTTTAGGTAAGGTGACAAAGTCTGAACCATGCAAGAGAGGTAGAATAACAGATTTGGCCTTATTATTGATACTGTTAAAGGTTGTTAAAGGTTAATTTACACTTCAATACAATCTCTAATCATCAGAATCAAGTTGTAAAATAAACTATGAAAATAAAAATCATGACCTGATTAAAAAGTTACAAATCTAATATAATAATAATAAAATCAAATAAGAATATGTATTACACGTGGAAATGGGTAATGGTATTGCAAGTAATTGTATTGCAGCAATCGTATTGCAGTATCAGGCCATGCCAATGGTAATGGCATGGCCTGGTATTGCAAGGGACTGCTTTATTAAAGCTGTATATGAAGTAGACTTTAAGTTGAAAAAGCTTGGTGGACCAATACATAATGTAAAAACTTGGTCAATCAATACATAATGCAAAATGCAGTAATGGTGTAGTGGTAGAGGGTTTGCTTCATAAACGAGTGGTTCCGGGTTCGATCCCCACCACGTCCCTGGTAGTACCGCGCTCAACTCGTTTCTCCGCGCAGTGGCCTTGTTCGTCAAGGTTCGTGTTTTGGAGTTATAGAGTTGAGAGAGGGTTATAGCCACAAAATAAGTATCCTCCTCGTCTGTAGTGGCCTTCTCGGCCTTGAGGAGGTGAATTAAAATTAAAACTCGGCCTTGAGGAGGTGAATTAAAATTAAAGTTAAAACAATAATTATACTTTCTCGAGAAAAATTATAATTTTACGAGAGCCATAAATTGCTCCCGTAAACTGTTTAAGGGGAGTGTGGGCAAGAGAACCAAGAGCTAAAGCTCTTGCTTGCCGCTGAGGCCTGAATATGTTAAGCACATAAATATTTTCTATTTTTATGTTCATTAATTTTTCAAAATTATTTACAGGTGTGGATCGTTTAATAAGAGTCTGGAATCCTTATGTACCAGCGTATGTTGGTTTAATACTTATCAAAACTTAATTTATATTTAAGTAATTTTAGTAACTTGAAAAAAATCTAAAACGTATTATACTAACTTGTTAAATATTTTAGGAAACCAATTGGTATATTGCGTGGTCATGTGACTCCTATATATTATTTACACATATGTGAAAATCTTAATAAAATGTTTAGTGTTTCAAATGACAAAGTTGTTAAGGTAACTCTTTTTTTTGTGGTCATTATATTATATTGGTTTATTATGAACATGTAGAATTATTTTATTATTTTTTTATTGTTATTAGAAATATTTATTATTTTACTGTTTCAATAGAAAACTCAAATTATAATTTTATGCCAATATTCAATTGCTATGTTATTAAGATTCTTTATTTATTTCTGTATGTCAGGTTATATTTCTGATTATCTTAGTTAAACTACACCAATGTATATAATGATTTTTTTTTTATATATAAATATTTTTTAGAAAAAAAAATTAAATTTGTTTACAACTAAAAACAATAGTTTCGAAAAATGGAATTGGTTAAATTATGTTTCAAAAATATTAAAACATTGCAATTGGTTGCATCCTGCATCAAATTGAAGTGAAGAAGATCTACAAAATCTTCCACACTGGACATGAGTTCTCAAACTTTAGAACAAATCTTCATTGGCCTCAAATCAAATTTAAACAAAACATTAAACAATAGATTTTCTTTAGGAGCATTATCAAACAATTTTATATACATTTTGTATACCAGAATTTTTATTTAAAGTTTCTATTTTCATATATATATACATAGAATAAAGGAAAAAAAAAAGTTTTAATTGTTACTGCTTATTAGGTATGGGACATAATAGATGAAGTTTGTCTTTTGACTGTTCAACAAAAATCTCATCTAATTAAAGGTGATTTGACAGGTAAAATATTTTTTGTTTTAATAAGTAAAAATTTTTCACTTGTCTATTTTAGACAATTATTAAAGGTGATTTGACAGGTAAAATATTTTTTGTTTTACTAAGTATAAATTTTTCACTTGTCTATTTTAGACATTTATGAAACATAAATCTAGCGATTTAAAAAAAACACTTTTTTTTGTTGCTATGATGTTCTTTATATGTGTATTTGTTGCTATGATGTTCTTTATATGTGTATTTGTTGCTATGATGTTCTTTATATGTGTATTTGTTGCTATGATGTTCTTTATATGTGTATTTGTTGCTATGATGTTCTTTATATGTGTATTAATTAAAGATGTGCATCGAAAAAAAAAAAAAAATTAAAAACAAGGTTGTTTTTTTAACAAATTCTTATTTTTCTTATTTAAACACTGAAATTATGTTAGAAATTTTAGGTGATATTTAATAAAATAAGTTTTCATTATTTTGTTTAACATACCATTTTATGAGTATTGTTATATTGCTTTTTGCTGTCTGTTAGTATTTGTCTGTATTGTTTCTTAATTGTTCATATAATAGTTTTAGTAATTCATCTAAAATTATTTACTTCATATTAAAGAGATCCCAAACCTTCGCAACATGTTGTGTTCATATTAAAGAGAATGATAAAAAAAAATGTTTGGGCTTAATTTTATTGATTAAAACAAAAGAACAAATGCATACACAAAAAAAACTCGAAGCTTGCTTCCTCTCTTTTGTTGTAAACCTCATTCTAAATAGCAACGCGGAAAACATTGAAAAGCTGGAAAAAAAAAAAAAAGAATCTAAAGAATAAAAAAATATGTTTTCCAAATAGTAAAAGTAAAAACAGTAAAAACAATCAGTAAAAGGAACAACCAAGCAGTACCAAGTGATCAAATAAAAGCAAGTGGCTCAAAGAAGAGGAAATTATCCTATAGTTTAAAATCATTATCAAATCAAATGCAAACAAGTATATCAAAAGCTAATAACAGAAGCAGGAGAAAAAACAACTTATTGCTGTATGTGTGGTGTGGCATTGGTAGATTCATCAGAAGACTTGGGTCAATGTATTTCTTATCATGAATGGCATGTAAAGTTTGATTTTGCATCAAAATGTGTACAGAATGTTTTTAATTTGATAAAATAACATGAATATTTAACTCTTTATATTGGTGTAAATCACCCCATATAAGGCGATATTGCCCAATGTAATTGTGTTATATAAATTGTTATTCATAAATATAAGTAATTTTTTTTTTTTAATTTATAAATGCCGTCAAACTTAAAGTAGTTTATTTGATTTTAATCAGTTATTGATATAAGGTAAAAGCATATCAGTTTAGATAGATACCATCAGTTTAGATGCAGTGGCAAAATTGGCAAAATTGCCACAGTTTACACTATACATGTGTATTTATATATATTTCAATAAATAAAAAAAATTATCAGTAATCTTTTTTAACCTATAATAAGCCAACCAAGTTTTCACTGAAACTGACCTTTTGCTTAATCTAACTTCAAAAGAGGAGGGCGGTTTTCAAATATCCAGGCAATAATTGCATTTAAACAACCACCTAATATATTAAGAACACTTACTTCTGCAAAAACCCAATTGACTAATAAAGAAGTTGGGTTATTTAAATGTAAAGATAATTGCTGGAAAATATGTAAATTCTATTTTCATTAAGTCAAAACATTTATAACATTAATTAGTACTACATGGAACATTGAAAGCCATAATACTAAGCCATATTTTTTTTTATTTATTTGAGTTTTCATGCTATATTTTTCTATACAATGTTTTTATATCCGAAGATATTGTTGGCTTAGCATAAGAACAACCACAAATAGTCATTAAGACTAATCCAAAGTAGCATCCATTATTGACCAACATTTTTGCATACCGAAGTACTACTCAAGCGCTGAGTTGGCGGTGGCAGGATTTGAACTCGTTATCGTTCAACGGTCCGGGTTTTC